CTCCCCCCGCAAAGCCCATAAATCTACAAATCATAAAAAGGAAAAAAAAAAGGACAAATGGATTAAAGGACAAATGGGTCCTGCAGGACTGATCTGCGCGGAGGGTTTCCACGTTCCATTCGTCGCTGTAACCCCATTAAACTGGTGCCTGCTCACGTCTTGGGTTTTGTGACTGTTTCTAGAGCCTTCCCCCCAAAAAAGCAGACAGAGAAGAGCCTTCCCGTTTCTTTAATCTGTGTAACTCACAATGATACTGTACACAAAGCACACCCATTGGAACGATGCACTAACAGCAAGGAGGAGAAGGAAGTTGTACAGAAGGTTTGTCACACACAAGCGAGTCATCGGCACGGTACTGTACACACAGGGGCGTACCCAGCGCGGCTGCCGGCGCCCTCGGGCATGCCGTCCGGTGCTTCCCCACACACGTCTGTTACCCCTAAAGCAATTTTTTATAAATAAAATATAACTAACATCGTTGGAATATAAAATTGACAGTCGAGGGTATCAACAGGCAGAGGGTGCTGAGGACAGGAGGGGACCGTAAGGCTTCTAGAACTAATAGGAAATGCAGCAAACGGTGGCGATACCTGAAGAAGGGGCTGCTACAGCAAGCACGGCGGCTGCTGGGCGGAGCGGGGGTTTGTTAGTAACCCTTTGGCTAGTTACTGCTCTTGGCTCGCGTAGCGGACACTGTAAACGTTTTTTGGTATTAGAATTTCGCCTCATCTGACCGAGTGATCTTGCAAACCCAGGAAAACAACTCGGAGGGAATGCATGGGCTCCTCTTGGTGTTTTTAAAAGACTTTAAAGGGACAGCGTCAGGTAGAAAGTCTGGCCCAATAGCGCAGTAATACAAAAAGCTGCTTTTTATAAAAAATCTGAGCTCCACAGCAGAGTTTGATTCCCATGGAAACAATAAAAAAAAGGAAAAAAAAAAAGACAAGACGGAGGCAGCCGGCGCGGCGCGGGCTGCGCTGTGCCAGTGTGCGAGGACGGGACGTGGGCTGCGGCAGAAGCAGCGCGACTGTCGCCGGTCACGCCGACGGCCGCCCAGACAACGGCGACAGGGAGGAGGACAAGAAACTTCATATTCTTTCGTTTCGAAGCGAACAAGTTACTTGTAACAAAGGTAAATTAGGTCTGTAACCTGACAGTGCCCCTTTAGTAAGGATGGAATTTACATTCATCTTTCCCTCGCTGCATCCAAGCGGATCCTCTTCCAGACACGTGGAAAGGCATCGGGTCACATGCATTGCTCTCCAAAACAGCTCGGAACAAACAGGTTATAAACACAGAGTTAAACTATTGCTATTGTTCTGTGAGTGAGTAGCATGTTGATCTTTGCTTCAGAGAGATGAGTGCCAGATGGGGGCGGCTGAGGACAGACTGATGTAGACTGATGGACTGAATCGGTGGAGAAAAACTTATTGGCATATTTCCTGGTAACTACACCCACCTCATCCGGTATTATTGCAGCAATAAAGGTCCTGCTCTACAATTGCTTCTCCGTGTTGGAGCCGTACAATGGCAGCAGATGGGGGGCCAGGGAAAGGACCCGAGCGAGTTTCAAGAAGCTCAACAGAGGATGAGGACGGAGGTGCTCAGATTGTCAGTCTAACTGCTAAGGAGTTGTTTCAAACATGAAGTGATGGAGAGGTGAGTATAATATTGCACTTCTGCATTCATTGACAGTTACATTAAACTTGGTCCATAAAATAATTGCTTTGTACATAATGCCTGAAACAAAAAGCTACATTTTTAAATATTAATAAACCCTGAAGGTTCCAGTCCCTCCAGACATTTTTTTTTCCTCTACATAAATAAATAACTTTCAGTTTTATATATCCACTTTTTATGTTGAACATTTACATTCGCCTCTGTTTTACACTATCTACACGTAAGAAAATGTGAACATCTCGTCAGCGTTGGGAAATGTACAGATCATGCCTTGGTTGTGGACTTGGAGGAAAGTTGAATTTTGCAAAGGCCATATCCAAATTTGCAGAAATTATTTGGTGATGTCATTTGGTGACTTCACAGGATGGATTGTGGCTTGGCTTCCTACTCAGATGGTATCTGTTTGATAGAACATTCCAGGAGTGAAAAGCTGGGACAATTCACATTGTTCTTAAACCCAGTAAGCTCTGGATGTACATTCAGAGAGAGCGAAGCTGAGTCGGCAGAAAGGGAAGTCAGTTTTTGGTAACAAAAGTCATCAGATACATTCTGTAATTGAGTAATTATCAAAGAGAACTGGTTAAACGTTTTGCAGTCAGGCTGCAAAGACGTGGGAGCTGCGCTGGGCGGCGGGCGGGCAGCTGGGGTTTGAGCACTCCGCCGGCTCGGACGCCGTAATCAGCTCAGCACTGTCCCTCCTCCGCCTCCGCCTCGACCCTCCAGCGCCACGAACACGAGATCTACCTTGGGTGTCTGGTGAGTTTGATTGGCCTACCGTGGCCCGGAGCCAGCTGGCAGAGCAGCGTTCACAGTGCTGAGTATCTCAGTGCGGCCGTCCTGCACTTCATATGCAAACGGTTCATAAAACGAAGCAGCCAGTCTAAAAAATTCTGTTATAAATAAGATCCTCGTAAGTAGAAAGTGATACAAAGACAGGAAAGTGTGGTGGGGGACAGCGGGGCTACACACAGTCGGGGAGCTCGGTAGGACTATAAAACCTCCACGTGAAGAGCCCAACTGGAGCCTGTGAATGGGTGGATGCCCCTCCGGGAGGTGTGTGCAAGGAGGGAACCGGGCCCTTCGCCGGCCCCAGGCTGAGCCAGGAGGGACAGGACTAAGGGGCTTTTTGGCAAGCCCTCGCTCTAGGCACTGTTCTCCTCCGCCCTCCCCTCCCCGTCCCGTGCACCGCCACGTCTCGGTGTCACCGGGGCTGCCAGCCAGCAGCGAGCGCTTCGCCCTGCGCGCCCGCAGCTCCCCTCTGCCACGCACCCAGCCCCGGCTCGCGCCAGCAGCACACAAACCATCAGCTCGGGCACATCCACTGAGAAACACACCAGGAAAATTAAGATATGGCCTTTTCTTAAGGTTGCCTGACATAGTTGGCACACTTCCTTACAGTCTCCTTACTGCTGGAAAAACTTCTGCACAGATTTTTGTTTTAAATATATACATATATATACGTGTGTGTGCATATGTATATGCACATATGTATATATATACACACACACACCCTGGCTTAGCAATATTTCATTGTCATGCACTACAAACAGTTGGGTGTAGCTACATGAGATGGTAACAGGTTTCCATTCTAAAAATCATCAGTGCAAAAAACAATGAGGTTTTACAGTTCAGTAACTACAGGTAAAAGAAGCGAGTCTAGTTCCCATGAAAGCTGCTACTGAACTCGGAGAGAACCTGGGAAGTAGAAAAAGTCTCAGAGCTGGATGTTGAGAGTCAGACCCTGCATTTGGATGAGAACTGCAAAGCAATCTAGCTGCTGAGCGCCTTCGGCTGCTTCCAAATACACGGTGGTTACTTTTGGAAGTAATAAATAGCAAGAATATCTGGAGACTTTAACAGCAAATTAAGTGTCTGAGGTTTGTAACAGCTCAAACAGCTTGTATTCCTCTTTTAATAGGTCAATGCATTAAATTCCATCGGCTTCTAAAAGGTCTCTTTAAAAAATAACAGTAATAACAGTAACGACCCCACTTTCTTGGGCGTGAATCTGCCAACATTCTGCCTCTACCAACAGCATCGATAACATCTTTATGCTTTGCCACTGCACGTACTCCTTGAGAAAGTGGCTGAACTTGAAGCTCTTTGTACAGGTAAAGCTCTCGGTTGCTCTGCCTGGCACAGCCCATGATAAATCCCTCGCTTGGGGCTGTCTGTGCTGGGGAAACAACATGCTCATCGAACCCCAAACCCACCCCGTGCCGGCACTGGCAGAGCACCTCCGTCTGACTCCTGGGACAACCAAGAACAAGTTCCCCCAGCCTCATCCCCTGTTCCTGTGGCTCTGAGGACAGCACTTGGTCACGCGTATCGGAGCGATGGCTAACAAGGCGAGGAGGCACGTATTTACAGTCACTAAACCTGGATAAGAGAAGGAGGCAGGAGAGAGCGCGATCTTGACCTGGAGACTTTCCCCCCCCCGATTTCCAGCTGTTCCTTGGGCTCACGCTGCACAAACCTGACGCTCCCGCTGCAAGGCCTGCACGTTCTGCGTGGGGAACGTCCCGTCTCTTCCCAGAATACCATGATGTTATTAGAGTAGCACCATATTTACCCTTCCAGCCCGTAATGCTGGCCTCGTCCCTCTTTCCTTTTGTTTTCTCCTCCAGTGGCTGCAGCTGACAGTCGCTGGCTCTGGCCTGGCTACTTCTGCCCCAAGAGGCCAGACTCCAGCCGGGATGCCGTGCTCCGGCCCCAGCACCCCGTGGCGATGCTCATGCTTCTTTGGCTGCGCTCTCTGTCCCTCTCCTTGTCGCCATCAGACTGGCTCTGGGTGCGCTCGGGGCGGTGGCCGGCGCCGCCGCTGGAGGCCGAAGGCTGGGAGGAGATGGTCCGCAGCAGGTGATTCCTCTTGCGCAGGAACTCGGTCTGGCTGGGCAGCCCGAAGCTGCCTTTCCGCAGCGCCATGCGCGTGGTGTTCTTGGCGGGGCGCGAGCGGTGGTTGTACTCCAGCTGGGCCAGGTGGGCTGCGTACCCCTCCGTGATGAACTGCGAGACAAGAGGGACGAGGGCAGGCGTTAGAGGGATGGGACGCGTTTCCCTGATAGCTACTGGCAGCCAAACACCTTTGCTGTGCCACGTTCTCTGGGGTGACATATAAGACGTGGAACCACTCAGACAGATGCGATGGGTGCTGGTATGTGGGACAGTTTCTGTCCTCTTGGCAAACACTAGCTCAGTCACCAGTCTCAAGATGACCAAATTCCCATCGCCCTCCCACAGGAGGCCCTTGGCAGCACCTCCAGGGCTCAGGCAAGCTGGCTCCTACCTGACACTGGCTCTGCAGCTTCTTGGTGGGTCGGCCAACGATGTAGATGTGCGTGGGCGGGAGGCTGATGGAGCTGTACACAGAGATGTCCTTCGTAGATCCATACGCCGCATGGATCCTCATGTGGAGCTGTGGGGAGAGAAGGCGACATGCAGTCAGAACATATGGGCACTCCGTGCTGCTCAACAGGCAGGGCGCTTTTTTGTGTGTGTTTTGTTTTGTTTTAAATAGCATTTGTGGGAATCTCAGGTCAATAACTTATGTAAGTTCCCAGCTGGATAATGCACCGCTGCGCAAAGCGGTAATTAGCAGAGCTGTGGATGTTTACAGGCCAGAACAAGAGGAGCAACAGCAACACGAAAGCAGACCTCCACTTGCTGATCCACAGCTTCTCCTTGAGGTCTGCGGGGGGCAGGGAAGCCGCACACTTCACTGCCTACTTGTCACTGGGGGAGAGGAGCGGTTTGCAACCCCCCGTGCAGTAATCGTTAGAAGGGAGCGTTCCCCTCCGCCAGCCGTGCTGCCGCATGCGATAGTGCTGTTTAACGCTGCTGGGCAGAGGAAGAAGGGACAGGCAGCAAAACAGGCTGCTTTTCAGGGATTCATCTGCCTCTGCTCTGAGCAGAGAGCAGCTCCTGGCCAACCCTCTCCTTAGGGGGCTGAAGCTGGGGCTGAAGCTGGGGCTGGCAGGGGAGGCGTGGACACCAGTGCCACCACAGACCTGCTGGCTTTGCCCCCGGAGCTGCAGACAGGCCAGGGAGATGGAAAGGAAATGTCTGAGCCTGGTCACAAATGTCTTCTTCTGGAGGACAAGGGAGAGCAGGCATGAAGTAAGGGCCAGCTGCTCCCGCCACTGTGACTCAGGCCCAAGTGAGAGTCGACAAGGGGCATTCCCTGCTATTGAAGGCAGGGCACAAGCGCTTGGGACACTGGGGGTTCCTTCACTTGCCAGACAGAGAAAACCTTGTTTTATCTGGAGCTTTTCTGAGGCTCTGGGCTGAGCGACATCAAGACCTCCCTGGGGTCAAGCGCTTGGGAAGATGCTCTGTGGGGTCTCCTGTCAAGGCTGCGTAGTGCAAGGCCGTATCTGCAGCAGCTCCATGCCCTCCCAGGCCTGCTCGTCACACCACTGGCAGCCAGAAAGCCACCAACCCGGTGAAAAAAGTGCATGTGTGGGGAAGGGGAGGCACTGCTGCCTCTGTTTCATTAGGGCTTTGGTGTTGGAAAGACCAGTGATGAAATGGAGCGGTGCAGAGCAGAGATGACACAATTTAACAGCGTAGACACTTTTGTAGAGCAATAAAAGGATGAAAATAAAGTGAATAGATTAATTTTGCGGGTCACATCGCTGCCAAAAGACTGGTGCTGACAGGGGCAATTGGACGAGGAGGAATCTCAACCCGTGCTACGATCGTATTTCAGCAGACCCAGGCTTACGTCGGTGATGAGGGATTTCAGGAAGTTGGCCTTGTGCCGCAGCGGGTCGTGAACGAGCCCGTCGCAGAAGGAGACGATCCCGTGGGGGAAGTTGTGCTGTGCTAACCACGCTACCACCCTCTGCTTCTGCATGTCAGGGCGGCCCGTGACATAGATAATGAGGTAGCCGAGGTCTTGCCAGTGCCTAGAAGGAAAGCCACAAGTCAACGGATTGCAGGCCTAGAGCAACGCCAGTGTAAAACAAACCGACCGCGCCCCAGCCCCTGCCGCTGACCTTACAACGTCGACCGCTCCGGCGCGGACTTTGGGGTCGCTGCCCATGATGGATACGCTGGCTGCAAAGGAGCCATCGATGCTGAACACCACAAACTCCGTCCCCTTCGGCAGGACCGTGATGTAGCTGTCTGCGTACGTGTGGTCGCCCCTGAAAGGGATGCAGGTACTTACAGGCATCGAGATATTCAGAAGGTATCACCGAGTCCTGCGGTGCACCACAAGCCCAAAGCAGCACCTCAGTCCGGCCCAAAGGCTCTAACAGAGATGCCACCCCCAGTTACAGCAGCGACGGGCACTGCAGGAGGGCCTCTGTGTTAAAGTGGGGAGGGAAATAGTACTTGGAGCCCTGGTGTTAGTGACTCAAAAAAATACCCCCAAAAAACCATTCCTGGGTTCACCACTGAGAAGATGCTCCCCTCCTCCCCCTTCCAGAGCTCAACACCAGCAACTGGAGCTGAGCTGGAGCCCCTGGGCTGTGAATTAGCACGAGTACAAAGTTCTGTCCCTCAAGGACATCTTTACGGTCTTTAAAGCTTGCTCAGTTGAGCGGTTTTGGAGATGGCCATGAGGCCATAGGTCTGTGGTGCAGAAGGCTTGCTCCTGCAACGGGAGGTTAATTACCACGCTGCTGGTGATGCAGGAGTCAGAATAAAAGGTGGATCTTTCTCATTCAGCTGTAGAGTACAAATGGCTTCGTCCCTGTTGCTGGCAAACCAGGCTCTGAACCCACCCAACAAGCAGAGCTGCCCCGCAGGGAGGGATCATATTCTACAGCCATCAAATTCCTCTTTTGTTCGTCTCGCAAACCAAGCCCCAGCACCCCAAGGTACCTCACCTGACCACCATCTTGACGGGGTACACGCCAATGCCCAGGCGCCGGTTCTCAGGGATGACGTACGAAATCCTGCCACTGCTGTTGCTGATCTCTGTGTCAAAGTAAACCCACTCTCCTGACGGCGGCTGGGTCATGATGTGAATGTCCACCTGGGAAGACAGCAAGGTTGGGTCAACAGCGACATTAAAGACACAGAGGAGTAGAACAGGCCAAGCACGGGGACCTTTCACCCAAGCCCCTTTGTACAGCAGCAGGGCTGGGTCCTGCTTCCACCCTCTGCACTTCACAGATCGGAGCTGAGCAGCACACACACATCAGGATGCCGGAACGAAACCCGGCCTTGGTGGTGAAAACCTCCACGGTGAACGCTGCTCTTGGTAGAAGGCACTACACAAGTCTGAGCAGGGGATCCTGGCCAAGAGGCAAGGGCAGCAAACGCTGTCAGGGACCGAGGGAGCACCGACCAGCACCGCCTCTGTCCCTGTCCCCGACACTCTTCACCACTGGTGTGCAGCCCCCATAGCAGACACGGTACCTTTTCTCCTGTGAGTGTGACCATATCTAACGGACCGTACATAAATCTTCCAGTTAAGGTCTGGGGCCCATCTTCGTTAGCAATGGTGTCGTTTATCCTGTGGTTGGCTGTGACGTTCTGCACAAGTCAAGGGGAAAAGGAGGGGAAAAAAAGAAAAAAAAAAACAAAAGAAGAAAAAAAGGGGAAGAATAAAGTTTGCAGCGATGGACAGCCTCACAGGGAAATGCCAAATATAACCGGACAAACTAGAGCATGGGTTTCTCTGTGCCATTCCCCCCCTCCACTCCACCCACAGCTCTCAGCTTTAGAACAGAATTTGACCTGTGGCAGAGGGGAGACTGTGCCCCGCACTGATGGGGTGGGTTTGAGTGTCCACGGCTGAAGAGCCAACTTCAATGGCAGTTTGTACGTGCAATTCTGATACCGTCTATTAACTCTAACTCTTACGCTTTGGATTTAAGAGGCACTACAAACAGCTGCCAGAGAAATTTGCTGACATTGTTTCAGCTCTAGCAGAGAATTGCCCTCTTTTGGGAATTGGAGACATTTATTGGGAGCGAAGGGCATTTACCGAGCAGAGAACTTGCATTATTGGACTTTGAAAGATGTTCCGTCTCCTTCTCTGACCCACAGCCAACACTTCCCATATTTTACATAGACTCGAGGCCAAGAAGAGACCTTGCTGGTGCAGATCTTTGGGGTTGCTCTTTCACAACCACCCGGGTAGGATATAATCACTAATTCGTACCAGCAGTGCAATGTGATCCTCTGTCTCTGCCACGGACAGAGGCAGCCGTGCCCACGCTGGCCACCTTCAGTGCCATTCTTGCAGCCCAAATCGAAACCCCTTTACATGACAGTGCTCCCCCTTGCCACAGCCCCAAACCACCCTTACCCGGAGCTTCACGTGCGTCCTCTTCCGGAGCCACTTCTCACGGGGCTTGGAGGGGGTGAAGACAGACACCTCCTTCCCATCCAGCTCCAAAACGCTCGAGTTCTCGTGCCTCATCACCTGCGGAAGGACAGATCCAGTCAAGACATCAGCCATCTGTCACGGTGACACCCCTCCTCCTGCTCACACTGTTCTGCATCTCCCAAACCAGCACTGAGTAAGGGCAATGCCTGGACAGAGGCAGCCTGAGTTTGCCTGCTGGGCATTTGGCTTGTCAGCTTGCAGGTTTTACAGGCTGCTCCCTTAATTGCAAGGCTAAGTGGTCTCCTCCAAACTAGCAAAGCCTGTGGCCAGCGCTGACTTAATCCCAGCTGGGACACAGGTTATTTAGGTTGTCAGGAGGTACAAAACAGACTCAAACCCAGCAGGACGAGCTCTGTGCTTGGATATCTGCTCTTCCTCCAGGCATTCATTAGTCCCTTCCCATGACCTGCGAGGGATCAGTCTCCTCCTTTGAACACGAGTTTTCTGCCGTTCTCGTAACGGATCCAGCATCCCTGCTCTGACCGGCCTCATGCCGACAGATGCCGCCCCTTCAGCTCATTTCTTATTTCTATTTAAACACATTTCAGACTGCTCTTGTCCCATGGCTTTTGTTCCTCTCATTGAATTGACCCTGGCAGAGGCACACAGGGATCCAGCTCGACCATGTGCGAGGCAGGGCCCAGGGTGTCTGTCCATCCTGACCTCATCTCTGAGGTTGACAGAGCTCAAGGACTTTGGGCTGCTGGGATGTCACTGTACCAGCGTGAGGATCAGAGAGGGGACAAGGTGATGCCCATCAGCCAGCTTCTGGGGGCAACTCCTGCTTGTCACCAGGGCATGGGCAGTGATGGAGAAGCAGGAACCTGGAGAAAGGAGGGTTAGATCCTACCTAGATTGCTGTTAAGCTCCAGAAGGGAAAAGGAAGAATAACACCCAAAAGAGAGGGGACATCTCTAAGACTGCTGTAGGACTGCGAGGTGACCTTGCACACAGAACTCTGAAATCAGCAGTAGTCCTCAGTGACCCTGTCCTACTAAAAAATTAAGAAGTCTCTTAAATGTGGGGTCTTTTATAAGGTCTTGAACATATTTCGTGTGGTCAGCAGCTGTCCAGCTGACCTAGGCTGTAGTGGTCTGACACAGGCCAGCTTGCTTTGCAAAGCTGAGGCTGTTTTTCTTCCAGGGAAATGGAAAAAGGACCCCAGGGAGGATGAGCTTGCTGGCGAGGGAGTTCATGGAAATCCAAGGTAAACAAAAGAACAAGTTCTACTGAAAATTATTTAAATCAGGAATCTATTTTGAGACCTATTTGGGCTTGTTTTAACAAGACTTAATCTTTGGACGCTGAAACTATTCAACAACTTCCTTCTACATTTTGTCCAGAGATGACTTTCAAAGGCGATTAGAAACAAGTCCTTATTAGGGGAAGAAGAGCGTGGTGCTCTGGAAGGACAGCAAGACAACCGGGGATGAGAAAAACCCTGGTCTTAAGGCAGAGGTGAGTGAGCAGGGACAGGCACTGGGGAAAGGGGGGGTGCCAGACTACCAAGGCAGCTCCCCGCTGGCTTTCAATGGATGGAGAGGTACCTCGAGCCACGGGTATGAAGCACCACACTGTGCTCCAGACCCAGGTTTGGGCTGAATCCTGAGTAACTGTTTATTTCTTGAGTAGAGCATTTTGCGTACGAGGCCGTTGTGACTGTTCCCACTCATGCGCCATTACGGGTGTGTGTCTCTCTTCAGCCCCCTTAGCCTGAGTTTGATGTGGGGCTGGGGTTTCACAGCAGCTGATCCAACAAGGTGTGTGCAAGCACAGAGATGTCTCGATGGGCTAGATACAGCCCGGGAAGAAAGGGTCTCACTGGATTATCGCTACCACTCAGCTGCCACCAGCACTGACATCTCTGTTGTTTATGGTTCCCACACTATTTGGAAGATAGCACTGAAAGAAAATTTGCCAACAGAATCATAAATAATGGAGAGCTGCAGCTGAGGAGGCTGGAAGAGAGCGGGGACAGCTTAACAGCTGAGCTAACACAAAGCAAACCCAAGCGCCGAAGCAGGCAACACATTCCACAGAGTTGCCTTTAGTTTTGTTTTCTCCAATTCCATGCTCTAAGAACCGTTCCTTGGGGAGTTCATGTTTTATAAGGCAAATAACTCCCCCTCATCTCCAAGGCACCGAAGGAAAAATATTTCTTTTAGGAAAAACACGTTTTAAACAGTAAATTTAAATCTCAGGCCAAATATGAATCTGAGGTGTCAGATTCCAGACACCAGCAATCCCCATTCACCTAGCCCCAGAAGAACTGCTGTGTACTGGAGGAATGAGGACGAAATCTCAGTGCAGTGACGATAGTCTGAGTTCCTAGAGGAGACGGCAATAACTTGGAAAGCCACAATGGAGAACAGAACTCTGCCTATCAACTCATCTCAAATTCATGCAAAACTTCTCCTTTGGTTTTATCATATTTGGTGCTATTTTTATTTGTACATAGAAAAGTTTCCTTTAAGCTTCAGACTTGAGATCCCAACTTGCACGCACAGAGAACAGCTCACTTCAAGAAACAAGTGCCACTGACTTTTGCCATTGCAATCTGATAGGAAACAGCCCTGTGCTCACTCCATGGGTCCCTGGTGAGCCCACCTGAAACCTGCTCTGATGATAAAACCCAAACCCAAACTAACCAGGTGTGACACCACACGTCTGTGACGTTTGCATGTATGCAGCTCCGCTAACACCGCAGGTGAGGAACAAAAAGAGGAAGAAAATGGATCAACGGATCTGCAGTGGCAAAGGGTGTTTTTTCACCTCTACATGTCAACGAGAGTTACGGAAGGTGCAGTGAAAAAAACAAAGAGGCCAAATATTTTTCAGCCC